ATGCTACCTGTCCACTCTTACATGCTAATAATGATAAAGTGGATCCTTCTCTATTCACCTGAGACACATTACACTTCTTCTTTAAAAACATAATCACAAGGTCAATGTGACCACCCAGTGCTGAATAAAGCAATCCCGTGTTACCAGAGCTATCTGCTATGTCTGGATCAACGTGACATTCATTAACTAGATACTGTGCAATATTGAGATGGCCTTTATATGAGGCCATGTGTAAACTAATAACACCATCATCATCACCTTGTGAAGGATTGCAATGATAAACATCAATGAGGAGACAGAGGACATCAATGTGGCCACCATATGAAGCAGCTAATGGTGGACTCCATCCATTTTTACCTCTTTCCAGAAGGCCAGTCTTGTCAATCAATCGCTGTACTTCATCTTTTAATCCTCTCCAACATGCTTCATTCAATGGAGTGCTGGTATTCTCATACCACAGAGGATCATAAATATCTATATAATATCTCATTAAAAAAGTTAATAATAATAATAATAATTACCAATAGGAGAATCATAAAGCTTCTTTAATTCATTTTCTGGCAACTATAATTATAAAAGAAGATTATCAATAATTTTACTTAGTTATTAACATACTTGCTTCATTTCATGTACATAATCATGACAAGTAATTTTTATGATTCCAATCTTAGCCAATGAATGACACTGTTGATTGGTTAATGGAAAGAGAACAGAATAAAGAAAATCAGGAATGGAATATTTTAATTCCATGCAGCCATTTTGAATTGTACAAAAATAAAAATCATATTCTGAAACTTCAAGTGCATCAGCGATTAGCTTGTGAAAGAAATATAAATCATTTAAGGTGTAGTCATCTCTGGCAACCTTAGCAATCATTATTTTAGTGCCTGGAACATCAGAAAGACCAAACTCAATTGATTCTGCAATTTGAACAGCTTTAGTATTGTTATTTTTAAAATAATCTTTTAACTTCTCACGATATGTAGACCACTTCCTCTGTAAATCTCTCTTATCAGTAATAAAAGTATTGACTAACTTGACAACAAGTTCGAAATTGAACCACGAGACGTATTTCTCCAATACTCTAAACAGCTGCTTCATCGTTTTAATGTGGTCAAACTCTTTTTTCATTGGCTCAATTACTTCATATTTATCAAAACGTGGACTGAGTAAAAGTGCAATATAATCTTGAATGAAATCGATAACTTCTGAGACATCAATAGAACGAAATGAGGCTTTAGTAAAACGCATATTATCAAGGTAAACTTCTCGTAACTCTTCGATCATTCGTGTCAAGTTCTTTGGTGAATATTCAATTGATTTCTTCTTAACGTAAATGACTGAAGACTCGGATTGAGGTAAAGTAGGAACTGGTAGCTCAACAGTTGGAGTAGCTTCTGAAATAATAAATAAAAATTATTATTGATTTATCATATTACTGTATATTTACTTTTAGAAGATGAAGTACAAACTGGTGATGTAGTAGCCTCTCCACTAACAGTAAGATTAAATTCTTTTTCTATTCCATCAGCTAGAGCTGGATCAGCTCCTCCACTATTACTTTTAATGGAGTTACACAGCATTCTTAATGTAGGGACACCATGACTGTTATAGTCATAGTCCTTCTTTAACCAGCAATCAAATACTTTCCAGAGACAAGTTCTTGGTGGTTTGCCCCCTGCTTCAATCTCATATAACTTATTAGGGCTCAATCCTAACATGATAGCCATAGAGTCCCAGCGTCCTGAAAGAACACCAGCTTTTTCCCATACCAATTGAAAATCAGTAATATCTATCATTAATAATGCTAATAAAACAATTATTATGAATATCTACTCACTAAGTTCTCTGTCAAAGGCTCTTTTTAGCTCCTCTGGTTTGGTTGACATTTCACTTTAGTTTAACTTTTGGTTTACTAGCCCTGCCCACCATTTGATTTCCGGTCTATTTTTATGCTGCTAGATACAAAAACACCGTACACTACTGCAGTGGTCAGTGCAGTAAGCTCCAGTCTACATAGTAGATGGTGGAGAGGCCAACTGAAGCAGTAGATGCAACCAATTCAGTACTTGTATTTCCTAGTAATATATCTTCTACTCATCCACCAATTATGATGACTGCAGTATCTTCTTTCAGTGTACCATTACAAGAAGAATATTTGTTTGTAGCTGAACAAGAGAGTAATTATAACAATGAACTATCTGTTTCATGTCTTTAACATACAATTAATATTAACAATATTTATTATTATCTTTTTTGAGCTGAATGTATGACATTTTGCCATTTTTACATAATATTATTTTGGTGTGCAACATAATCTATTACATGTAGCATGCATGGAGGCAGTTATAGTGACAAAAACACTCAAATCAATATCAAATGGAGTCTTGATCATCTGATCTCTCATAACTTGACTATGTTGACTGTCACATTATAAACCTGATAATCATTTGCAGTATAATCATAATGACAATTATTGTGCAGTTACTGTTTCCAGATAGTCTAGTTATTTGCTTTCTTGATCAATGATTGTACAGATAGTTCAGTTCTTTTCTTTCTCTAAGCAGCATAATGACTAATGAGTTCTTCTAGTACTGCTTCTGATAGTTCACCTTCTCCTCCTCCTTCTCCTCTTTTTTTATTGTACTAATGCACAGTCTCTGTCTGATTTATACTGCCTGTCCTTTTTCTCAATGTACATGTACTCTCTTGCTACCTATAGCAACGTAATGTATACCTATTATGTCTATACATTTATACTGTAAATGTTCAAATAAAGGTACATGTACATTATCTAACTGCTATATCCAGCTGCTATAGAGTTCATATTAGTGTTGTTCTAGTTCTTATTTTTCAAATACACTAGCAATGTATTTCGAATACCTTGATGTTTCATTTGCACTTAAATCCATCCATGATAGCAACAATAGCAGTTACACTGGGTCATTTGATATTCTTTCCTATATTTCATTTACATCCACCAACTCTAGATCAGGAGACCATGTGAAACTCACTCACCATCTCTCTCACACCTCTCAAACATCCAATGCATATTTTCATAGACTACCTAAGTTATGGAATAGTCTCCCTTCCTTCGACCTCTCTCTCTCTCCAGCCACCAACTGTATGAAGCTAAAGAACTTTCTGTGGAATCACTTTCTCAATTCGTTTGACAATGACCTTCCCTGCACTTATCGCTTCAGTTGTATGTGTTGTAAATGCTCCTCCCTCTCTCACCCTCCTAATTTCTCTTACTTCTAATCTTTTATTGTAATTAATAACTCTTAATTTCCTATTCTCCCTTTCCCTTTCACTCTATTTCTTTTTATCTATTTATTTTTGGCTCTCTGACTGTATTATCATTGAGACCCTCAAGGTTACTATTTTCATTTATGTATTCATTTTGTACTGTTACTTACTCTGTCTTTCCCTTGTAAAGTTATTATTATTATTATTATTATTATTATTATTATTATTAAATAGTTCTAGTTTTAGTTCTAGTTCTAAGCCTTTAATTTGCTTAGTCCTAGTTCTAGTTCTGGTTCCAAATTTGCAGTTTGTATAGTTCTAGTTTTAGTTCTAGTTCTTTATCAGTACTTTGTGTAGTTCTAGTTTTAGTTCCAGTTCCAAGCGAATACTCTACATAGTTATAGTTCTAGTTCTAGTTTTAAGCTCCTATTTTTCATAGTTCTAGTGTAGTTCTAGTTCTAGTTTAGTTCTATTTCCTTTATTTTGACACTTTTTTAATGATATAAGCTCTAATTAAGGTAGTTGGCAACATTTTATGTAGTCAATAGCATATAGTTCTAGCATTAGTTCCATAAAAATAATAGTTCTAGTTGTAGTTATAGTACCAGCATCGATTTACAAATAGTTCTAGTTCTAGTTATAGTTCAAAGAAGAGTTAGCTATTAGTTCTAGTTCTAGTTATAGTTCTATAGCTAGAAAACCATTAGTTTAGTTATAGTTTTAGTTCTTAGAACTAGAACTAGCTAAAAATAAGGGAACTAAATGACTTTTTAGTTCTAGTTCCAAAGAACTAGAACAACACTAGTTCATATCATATTTCAGTGTTATAATTCTTGTTTGCAGATAGTTCACACAAACAATCAACCATTACAAGCTTCACTACACATTGAATAATGTATAATAAATGTGTGTACATAATCTATTGGCAACAGTACATGATTCATCAGTTTCTTGGCACACGGTGACTACACATGCAGCTATAGGATTCAATTAATTACTAAAAAACCTTTATATCATTGTAATTCTGTTGGTATGTTAATATCGAAGAGAATATATAAATTCCAAACAAAAAACTTTAGCCACAACACATTTTGAAAACAGAGACAAGAATAAGAGCTCTATCAAAATAATAATAAATATATTAATTAATTAATTGAAGATTACCTGCTATATAAGGACGTCACTTAATCTCACTTCTCCTCATGTTCTAATGACAGGATCAGGTGGTCTACATTTACCAGTATAGAGACATTTCTCCATTAACTCTTCACTCATATCGCTATAATGTAAATACACATACTTGTATAATGTATGTATAAGAGAAGTAGTAAAATTGAATGTACATGTACTGTCCACTGGATTCACATACAAGCATACACTCATACAACCAGTCAACCAGTCACACTAAAATAAAACACAATAATCATATCATAACAATTTAAAGCCACATGTCAAACAGCTAGTACAGGACACACACATTATACAAAATAATGAAAATCAGCATAACAAAGTGAGTCCCGTACGTACAGCATACATGTACATGTATATGTACATTAATTGTTAGTAGATGGTCTTATTGAATATGTACAATCAAATCAATGACAAATCCTAATGCTACAAAACATGCATATGTCCGGACACAGCAGAGTAAAAAGAGTACGTGTACACTGTTATACAGCATACATGTATGTGTACGTTGTATGTGTAATTGTGACTATGATGCATGATGTACATATACTTACGTTGGTAGTATAGTACCATCATGAGATCCATCAACCAGTGACTGTATAGCATCAGTAATCTCATATCTTGATGCATAAGAGAAACACACATTAAGAAATACTCTATAATAAAGGAATGGACAATATATAATAGTAAATACATGTACATGTATATTGTACTTTTGTATTGGACAGTTCTATTGATTGAGTTTGCTACATGTTGTACAACATGTTAACAAAGTGTCTGGATTCTGTAATT